CAAGACTGCGTTCCGGACTAGATACGGGCACTATGAGTTCATAGTGATGCCCTTTGGACTAACCAACGCGCCAGCTACCTTCCAACGTTGTATGAATGACCTGTTGAGACCGTGGTTAGATAAGTTTGTAGTAGTCTACCTAGATGATATCCTAGTTTTTAGTAAGACCCTCCAGGAGCACCAAGGTCATCTGAGGCAGGTCTTGGAGAAGCTACGAGAGGCTAACTTAAAGAAGAACGCAAAGAAGTGTACTTGGGCCACGTGTTGGATGGAGATGGCATTAAGCCAGAGGACAGCAAGATAACGGCAATTAGAGACTGGCCGACGCCCCGCACATTGACAGAGTTGCGGTCATTCCTAGGCTTAGCTAACTACTATAGGAAGTTCGTGAGGAACTTCTCCACTATCTTCGCCTCCTTGCGCAGACTGCTAAAGAAAAAGGCAATCTGGCAATGGGACAAAGACTGTACATCTGCGCTCAAGAAGTGAAAAGCACGCGTTAATAGAATATCCTGTCCTCAAAGTAGCAGATCCGTCCTTGCCATTTGCCGTTACCACAGACGCAAGTCAGTATGGGATAGGCGCCGTGTTGAAGGAAGACGGCGACAATGACTATAGACTCGTAAAGTTCATGTCAACGAGGATGCGCTGTGAGAAGGTCGCTACCTCCACGTACGAGAGAGAACTCTACGCTCTCAGGCAAGCCTTAGACCATTGGAAGCACTATCTGCTTGGGAGGCACTTCGAAGTGTATTTTGACCATGAGACACTCCGTTGGCTAAAGACACAGGCCAAGATGACACCTAAGTTGACTAGGTGGGCCGTAGAGATAGACCAATTCGACTTTGAGCTCAAGCCAGTAAAGGGCAAATACAATGGAGTTGCGGATGCTCTGAGTAGGAGATCAGACTACTTTGGAGCCGTAGTACACTATCTGGATGTAGGGAGAGACCTGTAGGAGAAAGTGAGGCAAGCATATGAGCAGGACCCTATCTATAGCGACCTCCTAAAGAGAGTTAGAGAGGCCCCAGAGACTTAACCAGACTACCTTACTACATGCGGGTTGCTGTTTGAGAAGACTAATGTGTTTGACCGCCTGTGCGTTCCCAACAGCGAAGAGATCCGCAGATTGATTTTAGGGGAATGCCACGATACTGAAGGGCATTTCGGTTGGCAAAAGACATTAGCCAACCTGATGCGTGCGTATACCTGGCCAGGGATGAAGAATGACTGCATAGAGTATGTSCGMAGTTGTAAAGTGTGCCAKAGGAATAAGTCTACTACACGCGCGCCCCTASKTCTTYTCAKACCCTTGCCCATTCCGGATCAGCCGGGAGACTCCGTGTCCATAGACTTCATGGACACCCAAGTCAAGAGTAGACATGGTAAGAGCCAAGTCATGGTCGTAGTTGACCGTTTTAGCAAATATGCAGTTTTCGTTCCTTTGCCTGCAGAGGCACGTAGGGACTTAGTTATACAAAAGTTTTTTGACTTTTGGGTTAGTGAGAATGGAATCCCAGTGTCAGTAGTTAGTGATAGAGAGTCGTTTCACCAGCCAGAACTGGCAAGAACTCATGAGAGTCTACGGATCTAAGTTGTTAATGTCGTTCGGCTGTCACCCAGAGACTAACGGTCGGACAGAACAGATGAACAAGATCGTACAGCAAGTTTTGCGCATGTACATTAGACCAGATCAGATTAACTGGGATGAGATGTTGCCTAAGGTAGCTAGTGCATACAACAACAGCGTGCATCTACCCACCTGCCGCACTCCCAATGAGTTGCACAAGTCCTTTAGACCGCGCAGACCGATCGAAGGACTGAACCGGGATCAGATTCACAGATTACCGCCCGGTACCAGGGAGTTTGCGATACAGCACGAAAAGGAGCTAGCCACTGTTGTTGAGAACCTTTGGAAGGCCCAGCACAGAATGATAGAGCAGGCTAACAAGCAACGTCGCCCATCACAGTTTCAAGTAGGCGACTTAGTCTGGGTCCAAGCAAAAGAGTTTGCACCGGAAGAAAACATCTCGCAGAAGTTACTGCCTGCATATAGAGGACCGTGGCCGGTTCTAGAAGTCAAGGGCGGAGAGGATGGACCGTCCTACAGCATTGAGATTCCAGCACACCTCCACACATACCCTGTGTTTCATGCTTCGAAGCTGCTGCCGCGTGTCACAAGTCAACAGTTCCCTTCCAGGAGACCCATGATCCCACCGGATATGGATGGAAGCTATGACATAGAGGGCATTGTAGAAGAGGATGTGTTTAGGACAGGAGGTAGAGGTCGTCCCCAGAAACAGTATAAAGTCCGGTTTGCCTATCAGGAACCAGAAGACGACCGCTGGTTCACGAAAGCAGAACTTCTAGAGACTGCTCCCGACAAGGTCCTGCCTTGGACTGAAATTTTATCGGAGGACCTCGAATTTAGGACGGCGGGAGTGAAACGGTTTTCACCTTTTAGCAGTAGCGGATGCAGTACCCAGGGTTCGATCCCTAGACCTCACCCTACCCATGTACAGTATCTGTGTAGACCC